ACTCGAGCAGGGTCATTAGTGGGTCACTACGATCCGCGCCGTATTTTTTGATAAGCTTCTTAGCCTGTTTCACTGCGCTTTCCGCCTTGCCANTTCAAAACGCCATTGTTCACTGAATTTCAGGAATTCGGTGCTATGAAATTGGGGACCGCCATCGGAGATCACCTGAAGTGGTATTCCGTGTCGCGCAAAATGGATGTGCAGTTTATTAATCTCCGCCGCTGTGCTGGATCGTAGTAAATCAACTCCGAAAAAGTCACTGTAGTAATTAACAGTTACCAAGTAGGTGTCTTTCCCGTGATAAAATATATCAAGCGCTACCATCTGCCAAGGTCTCTCTGGTATTGCACGCATACTCATCGGTTCCTTCGTTTGTCTCTGATCAAACTTCCTGCAAGTTTCACATTTAGTAATCACTTGTCTTATCTGTTCCGACATACCTGGCCAATAATATGTCTCCCTTGCGCGACTGAGGCATCCGTTGGTACCGGCGTGAGAGCAATGTATCAAACGCATTACGTTTTGTCGTTTATTATCCAATGAGAATACTTGAAAACGTATTATTACTATGTTCGTTGAGAGTGAGGTTCGTTTCACTGTATCAGNTATCAGGTTGTACAATGATGATGATACCGAGGGATTCGTTGCGGGTCAAACCCACCGTTGGATGCCAAGTTTACCTTGATCTTACATAAGCTTTTTTCAACTGAATTCCGAAGCTCTGGTAATTATCCTACGCCTTCTGACCAATTCGAGAGCGAAACTGTCTCAGTCGTTGACCGAAATAATAATAGATTTATCTCATTGTATTTGGAGATAATCCAGTGTGAAGAAGCCAAAGTTGCCAGGGTGTCCAATCGGTAGAGTACACCTTGTATATAAACCTGGGTTGGACAGAGTGTCTTGATATTCACGTTATTGGAGTGTCTGGAAATATTTCCAAATTGAATCATTTGCTTAGCCTAATCAAACTCCATTTGCTGCTTCTGTATGTTGCACAAATTCTAAATCAGATTTTGTCAGCCAATAGCTTTTCGCAAATTCCGAAATCGTAGAACTGCATGAAACGGTTATGTAACGGATAAAGTCATCACCATTTCCTTCAGCCTCCTGAGTTCGAACATCACCCAACCTCAGTATTAAGCTCTAATACAATCTGTGAGAATGCCATAAATCGACTCTTTCTCTTTCATATAGTTCGTCCCTTCAACCTCCTGAGTTCAACGGTCAAATAAAAATTATGTAATAACTCAGTTACGTGTGACTAGTAGTGCGAACCAAATGTATATTTACTTGTTTGGGCTGACTGCTCTGACCCAGCGGGGTCTTATGTGGTTCGCCACTCCAAGTCCTGCAGGGTTTAGGTTGCCGGTTACCATCACTGAACAGCGGGTCTTCGTGACTACGGGGTCCGTCCTGTCTGCTGTTCGTCACACACTGGTGCGTAATAAAAAAAACATTTACACACGCAATTTGCAATTCACTCCATGTACTCGAAAACTGCCGTTCTCGTGCTTCGCGCTGTCCTTGGAGCGCATTCGAAGTGTATATTCATCGACTTATCCAGGCTTAACCTCGGCCTTCTCGCTAGCATGGAGAGCATGTGTGGTTCCCATGATACAAACCGGTTTACAACAACGCTACCCAGCATACCTATTTTCCGCTGGTCCAGGTGCGGTCCTCAATAACGTTCGATCCGTTTTCCACCCGACATCGACGAATAGAAACAGTTGATTATTTGTTAAATCCATAGCTCCCCCCCTCCCATAATACACACCGATACACACCAAAGATTTTTATACCGGCAGTTGAGTGGATGTCCCCAGTTATCACTGATTTCTCTTCCCATCTCACTTGTCACAAGTAATTCGGTGTTAAAATATCAACTTGATGTATAACTTATCAAATTTCACATATTTGGTACTCCTCTTTCTATATGAGTTTCTTAATTCATTGTAGGTAGTGTTGTTTCTACTAAACATTTACACAATCATTTTTTCTTCGTTATGCAAATAAAAACAAAAAGTATTCCCTATACCCTTCTGCCTTCCGTGCAACAGTCAACTGATCGAACAGGCTACCTCATTCTTTGGTCAGTGCGTTTTTGCCAGTCAGCTTCAATCGACCAGTGCACCTCTGTCCTCACCGACCTCGGTTGCGTATGTGCAGCTGGATTCGACCACACCGGAACTGACCATTCACGCGTCCAACATGCCGAACGGGTTCGTGGACGAACCGGTAGCTCGGATAGAACAAGTACAACTGGTCTCCTGTACAAAAAATACTCCATCGGATTTTGATGGTTCCGAAGTGAGTCCCTTTCATCCGTCGTCTGTGTTAGTGGGTGTAAAAGCAACAGGTAGCCTTCTCGAAATACTACCGCTTAGTGGCACGTTTGTACTTTTCGTTCTCCCGCTGTTCTGCACTTATTTTCGAATCTCCGTTACTCTGGAACTACTACTACTACTACTGTATATAGATTTGATCAGCTCTCTCGTACTGGTGTATCCGATGCTCGGATATCTTCGGTTAGCTCGTGTACTGTGCATGCCTACTAGTCTATTTGAGTCATTTCTGTAGGTTACAGGAAATTATATGGAAATCAACAGACGGGATAAAGAGCCGGAATATGGAGCAAAATTGGAGTCGAGCGTTCCGGGATAGTGTATGAAAGCCTCCATCGTTCGTTAGGCATGTTAATTCTGATACAGTATTCTGCGTGTTAACCATAGTGGCCTACTCACCCACTCACCTCCTTCCCTCAATCAAGCAAAGCTGCATTTATGTGTACTTTTGTTACTTTTTGCAATGGGCAGCAATCAGAAAAACTCACTCCATCCATATATTCTTGTGGATTGATGTCAATCCTTTTATCTTCATCATTTCCTAATTCAAATCTCTGATTTGTATGTCACCTTAGTCCTTTTACGGGATGATTCGACCTCGTGGATATCACGAATATCGATTGCTCATAGGTGATTACTAGAATCAATATAAGTGTAAACTAAAATTTAGTCCTCTTTCTATCGTTTATATATATATATATATATATATTCGTTACAACAACCTTGTTTGCAATACCGGGTGACCATTGGAGAGACAGCTCTTTCAGAGCCAGTCCATTGGAGAATTAATGCTAGTAGCATTTATCCCACCTACAAAACATCGAATCATAGCATTGATTTTTCCAATGGACTGGCTCTGAAAGAGCTGTCTATCCAATGGTCACCCGGTATTGCAAACCCGGTTGTTTTGACGAAAATACACTTCCTGGGTACAAGTATATGAACGAACTGGCAAAAGATTACCGGATACGCATGCCTGATGAGCGGCAAGAACCGCGAAACCGGTGGTGTGCTTCCAGGGAAATTGTGTCTAATCATTCACATACTACTACTACCAAAGCCTGACCCGCAAGGCGGCGGTGAGGTGTGTGAAAACCGCGGTCCATTGAGAGCCGGTGTCCAGTTAGTCGGATCATACGCTTTTTGGATGGGGTCAAACGTCCGAGGTGAACAATGCACCTCGATACCCATTCGATCCGGCGACCACTGCCACAATCAGGAAGGCGTGGGTTGCTCGTACACCTCTTGTTCGTTGGTTTACGATTAGGGTTTTCGGTCATTCCCCTCAATTGAACAGCCAGTGGTTTATCAACTCGGTTAATGCCCCGGTTTTTGGCTTTTCCTCCTCTCACTTTGGTAGGAATACACTTTGGCCATGGGAAGGCAGTTCGAGTAGGGCTTTCTCAGCAGAAGCTTTTCAAGGTGCTTGGTCGTATGAGAGTATTTCGCGGTGTGTAGTTGAAGGGTGACCAGCCACAGCCCGAGACACCCACCTCCCACGATGCTGAGGTTTTATACATACACACAAATGAACTCCATTTACTAGCAATCCATGGCAATATTCTTTCGAATTGTTTAGCATATGGTGATTTTGACTTTATTTGGTCTTGACATTGTGCATGTGATATCATAGTTCATATCTATCTGAGTTCAGATTGTTTTATGCTGTCCTCACTACTATCCATGAATTGTACACTTTTGTTCCACTTTATCTTATATCTCCTTCCAAAACAATACTACCGTTGTCTTTGATTAGCGTAGAAGTCGCCTACGGTGACGAACTACTACTGGCGATTGGCCAATATTTAGCTTTTACAGTTGGCGTTTGTGCATTCCTTAAGATATATATATATATATTTGTACATCATACTGTATTCTTTCATTTATTCCGTTTTTGAATTCTGTGGCAGAAGTCAAGATCTGAAAGTCAAATATACCAATATGAGATCCCGTTTACTGGGGTTGAAAGCGTGGAATCGGTCCAATCATCGCATCGTCCCTCGAAGATGGGTGTTGTCGTTCACTCGCTGGACTCTTCCAATTCCTTGTTAAGCGTTGGACTTCTCACCCTTTCGCCACCGGACAGCCCTGGTTTGTGCGATACCAGACGCACAGCATCCGAGGATTGGACCGAGAGTGCCAAAGCTTTAAATCATCAAAATAGAAATTTCACCAACTCGATGCATACGATGAGTGTCAATCCGGACGTGATCTATGCCGACGACCATCTGATTGATGGAACGTCGGAAGTGCACTTGCAACACACCCCCGCATCCGGTTATAGCTGCATCTTATCTTGAAGAGATTCTCTCACTCGTTTGTACAGGCTACCACTGTGCCCTATCGACTTCTCGTTGTGATCCGGTACTTCCCCCTCCCTTTCCCTGACTTTTGTTTCTTTTCTAACCGATACATTTTCCATTGTAGGTTTGGTGAATATCTCAAATATATTTTTTGTGATTTTTGATCTCCCCGTTGTATATATACTCAAGTTTATGGTTCCAAAGTGATGTGCTTCACTTTGTGGCTCACAGAAGCACGTGAATGTGCTGTCTGACTTCACGACACTCTTATCATCACCTTCACATTTGGATTGGATGAATAAATCGTGTTTGTGGAGGATTTTTGCAGAGCGCTCGTCCGCGAACGTCGGACAGATAGAAGTAGCAGTGGCAGTATTCTCATCGACTAGGTTTTTACGGGACATGTGTTACGCTTCACTCAAAATCGTGTCTTCTATGCTGTATTTTCGTTCAGTTGGATCTTGGTTAAAATAAAAATATTAGAAGCCAGTAAGTGAGTTCAGGGGGTCAAAAGTTCGAATGCGAATTTTCAAAGCGTCTACCGGATACGTTTTACTCATAGCATCCGCATGGCGAGGGTGTTCATGTAGTCAGCTGACGAAATGCTGATATCCAGGGTCTTAAGTGAACTGCTAGATCACGGACAGTTGCTTACTATAATAAACTGGAGAGCCTCGTTTTCAACCTGGGAATCACCGGACGTTTTCACCCTCTTATATGTTAGTTCTCTTGGACATCCTTACAGCATTGAACTCACTAAAAAAGAAGTGAAAACTGAGCATACTTATACACTCTTGTTGCACTTCAAATCAAGCAGATGGAGAGTGTACATGTGTGAGTAAAGAAAATTAGCACGGTAGATATTTCGAAGTAAGTTTCAACTCTTGCCACATCAGAAAAATCTAACGAAGAGTAGAGCGTTGCTTTTTTCCTCTTGAGATGGTGGCTAATTGGCAGGCGATTGTTCAGATACCACCTTTAGGTGAACAAGAGACATGGAGGGTGCAAGAATAGGAGGGGGTTTGCTTTTCAGTTCAAATAGGGCCAGTGGAAAAAATTAATGCAGATGTTGTGTACATCATCAGTACTGTGATTTAGAACGTAAATTAATGTGGTGATGAGTGTCTGGTAGCTTTGCGAATGGGCAGGTGTGTAATTTATTCAATCATATTGAGGCGAAAACTTGAGAGCCCTGATCCTGGTCCTCGGAGCGGTGAGCCTCATGCGGCCTCAACTGATCGCAGTACTTCAGCAGGGCTGTTTGGTATCGCTTTAAATTAGTCAAACTAACCTAAATCAAAGTTGCTGTTTTTCGACTTCATGCATTACTATAAACTAACCCAGCAAGAAATGGCTCAAGCAACACAATCGTACAACGGTTTCACAGTTCTGTATCACCTATGCAAACTAGATGTCCTGTATTCTTTTGATTGATTGATTGATTTTGTAGGGTAAAGTTCTTTCTGACAAGACGGTCGGTATTCATGTTTGGAATCTTAAATTGTTTTTTGAACACAATTGCCCTTTGGATTTCATCTGAACCAGCAAAGCCGAAAAGTCTTTCTTCCTTCGATGTAGCAGAGTTTTCAGTTTTGCCTTAAGCCCAAATAGTGAAGCACCTGGAAACTATTTCTGTTTGGCGCCTTTTGTGCATGAAAACTTTCAGCTGATCCGTAAAATTAATCACTCGGTTTTGTGAAACATTAAGGAAAGCCGATTATTGTTCTTTTATTCCGTACAAAGCGGCATGTCATAAGGATACACCGTTGACGAAACTTCATAAAATAGCACGGTTCCCATCTATCTGCATTCTGCTCATTTATCCAAATGGGTGGTCAAAAGACAGTAACCAAAACCGTTTGTACAAATTGAAAATAGATTAGTAAATTTTACTTCGTCCTAAAGTGAAATATTCAGTCTAATTAAATAGATTATGATTTCGGGGTTAGACGAGGTCCTTGTATCACAGCTGGTTGCTTCTGGTGTACACATGAATCACATAAATCAGAACAATGAGAAATCGGCGCATGAATTAGATAGAAACAGTCTTATATATTTCTAGTTTTTCTGGATTCAGTCCAGATTTGGTTGTAGGTATCTCTGCTGTCATCCACTTCAGTACTACGCCTAGTCTTACGTGGTACACCACTCCAAATCCCGGGGGCTTAGATTACTGAGTTCCATCAATACATGGCTTTGGGGATTTCCCCGTCTGTTATTCATCACACTAAGGTGTGTAATAAAAAATGTACAGGCATCTTGCTTCCCGCTCGAACGAAACATGATGGTCAAGCATTATATGGTTCTATCTTTTTGGTCTAATGACCTTTTTTATTCAATCAGGAGTCCTGTATAAAACAGAAGTAGCAAAATACTGGTGTCAAATGCCTGCAAAAATCTACATATCATCATCGAACTTTGTTTCTTCGGTTTATAAACCAAAGGAATCTTCCTTTTCTAATAAATAACTTCGGTAACTTTTATCTACTAAAAAAGTACTTCAAATTTGTAAGTATTTTTCATAACTGTTACAAGCATTGATATCCAAGAACACCTCGTTGTTTTGTACATTTTGTTATTTTACAAATCATGAAGACNCGAATGCCTTCTGGGCATTATTCTTCGATTTTTGTGCCAGCTGAATCCGGACTGTATTAGCTGTTTTGTCACTAATGCTTTACGTCACTTTGGTCGTCTCACGCCTCGTGCGACGCTGCTTTATTTGGAGGCAGCCAATGACAAGCTTGATTAATGGTTGTATGTCACCCTGGGAAGGACTGACAGCGTGTGTACGTAAGTAAAGGGATTTTGTAGTGCTATTCGGGTGCTGTATTCTTGATTTGCCGTAAGCAGATTTTTGACTAAATAAATTTGCAGAACCATACATTTGATAAGAGCTTCATGGGGGAGACTGTCCCTTGAAATTGTTTCTCCTTCAAAAACTTTACTTTTATCTTGAAATATTCGGCCTCCATGAGTTCAATAAGCCAATTTGACTGCTTCACAGATTTCTTGACATTTTCCATCCAACTGACCATCACAATCTGCAAACCCAATAATTACCAATTAAGTGCTCTACCAAATTGTAGATCAAGTATTGAGGAAGTGTATATTACTTCTCCATTGACAACTACTTCCATAACTTCGGAGAATTCTGGAAGCTCTTCTAGCACTATCGTATGTCCATTGTTTTGCAATGTACCTAGTCTTTTTAGTTAATAAAGGGTATCTTACTTAGCAGACCTTGAATTCGGTGTGTCCTGCACGTATTTATTCCAGCAACTTCGTATTTACCGTAACGAATAAGAACTTTGGCATGAGGAGGCATTGGTCAAATTCCGCGGATTCCAGTTGCCACGGCGATGCTAAGTTGACCTTCAGTTCAGTTTGCACAGGACAGTAGTGGCCGAGACCAAACGTCCGTCTTCAAGTCTTGAAGTCTTGAGGTGATTCA